AATGGTGATGAAGATTTGTCAATTCCATCAAGTATACCTCGTGGTGCATACGTATGTTTCTAATCTGAACTGTGCTTTAGTCTTTAGCAACATATGCACAATGGCAAATACTTGCCTTTCTGTTCTCTATCAATAAATTGGCTTTGACTCTATAAACTGAACGTCACTGATGGATAACTAAAATTCTGGATAATCATCATCTACATTTATCCTTACAGGATCTTGGACCAAGCGAACCTTCAGTTACCAGTTCTAAACAAGATTTGGATCAATCACCTCAGTTCCATGATGAAGTAAATAGCCAGCCTTATACTAATATTCGGCCATCACCTCAGTTCCATGATAAGATTGAGCGGCAGCATTTTTCAAATGTTTCACCATCACCTCCTTCATATCCTTCTGCTAGTTACCCTTCTCAAGATCAATCCTATCCACAAGAACCCCAACAACACTTTCATCCACCACCTCCCACAAGCAGATCAGAAAATCCTACAAATCCTCATTCATACCAACATCAACCCTATTCACAAGAACCACAATTGCATTTGCCACATGGTTATCCATCCCATGAACTTCACTCTTATTCATATCCTAATTTTCAGTCTTATCCAAGTTTCTCAGAGAGTAGTTTACCCTCTGCCTCATCTCACTATCCTTCTTACTATAAAGGTTCCGAGACTCCTTACACTCCCCAGTCAGCTCCTCCAACAACAAGCGATCTATCAACAGCCCAATACTCTTCAAGTAGCGGAAATGGGACATCCTCAGAACCTGCATCAACTACTTCTCAAAAACACCAATATGACAGCAATTACCAACCACCACCAGAGAAAATTGCCGAGGCACACAAGGCTACACGGTTTGCAGTTGGAGCCTTAGCATTTGATGATGTGTCAGTTGCAGTAGAGCACTTAAAAAAATCACTTGATTTGTTGACTAATCCATCAGCCAGTCTGTAAGTTTGTTACCCTTGAGTGGACAGATTCACATCGTTTTTCTGCGAATCATATGGCTTGATTTGTAAAGGTTTTAGGGACAAGGGTTTGTTTTTTTTTTTTAAATTTTATAATTTCGTTCCATGCTTGGAAGATACTATGAATTCTTTAGATGATAAATTATGGATATTATCATGATTGATTATTCCAGTAACAGTACATATTATTTTAAAAAATAAAATAAAATAAAATATTAATAGTAATATTTTTATTTTTTAAAATTTACTAGAGATATGTGAATGTAATTATCAAAGAGAAGAAAATAGAAGATGTAATTGTCATGGAGGAGGAAGCTATGTAATATTATAAAAAATATTTTAATTTTCATCATTGCTTGAGTTGGAGGTAGAATTTCAAACTAATTCTCAAAAAATATAAAAAAATATAAAAAAAATATTTTTTAGGCCAAAATGGTGGGAAAGGTTGCACTTGGATATACTTGCTGTGGTAGTTGAAGGATAATATAGCATCCATTAATATACACAAAATCATGGAATGGATAGTAAAAACATAAAAATTGCTTCTATATAAAATTTAAGATCATGTTTGGTATATCATGATAGTTATTTTATATTATGTTTGATTTATATATAAAGAAAATGACATAATTGTAAAGAAAATTAATTATTCTCTTGATGTAGGATGATTCAATCCTTCTCAAAAGGAGAGGTTTTTTTTTTTTTAATTCACAAATTAATTTTACATGTTTAATTATATTTTTAAAAATTATATTAATAATTTAAAATGTATAAACTTTGAAAAAATATAATTTTAATAAATAAATAAATTATCCTATCTTAATTTTTACGAAAATAAAAATTAAAAAATAAAAGAAGATAATATTGTTTAATCTAATTTCATTTAGGTTATGTTTGATACACAAGATTATTATAGCTATGATATGATAAGATGATATTATGAATATAATTAGATTATATAATGGCATCCTACCTTATATTTGATATTTACAAAGATTAAGATAGGATAATTCATTTATTAATCAAAATTATCCTTTCTCAAAGTTTATATAATTTAAATTATTAAATATTTTTAAGGGTATAATATGACCTATAAGTTTAATCTCATAGAGTAAAAATAATCATCTCCACTTTATGAGGATTAAATTATCCTATATATAAAAGATGATAATCTTTCTTATAATCATATCCCTTTCAATTAAAAACAAATTAAACATAATATAAAATAATTATCATACTATCATATCCATTATTTTATATACCAAATATGACTTTATAATATAATCGTATCTTATCTTATCATAATCTTATATATCAAATACATCATAAATTTTTTTTTTTTACATTTAACATATATTTGTTAAAGTATTAGCCGTTTTAAAAGTTTTGATTATAATTAAGTATTATATCCGTATAATCAACCATCAAATTAGAACATAATTAGACAACTACATCCATACATAATAAAACTTAAATCTAAAACCTCAAAAGTTCTATATTTTTATCTTTACCGCTAAGTTAAGGTTTTATTATTCGCTTTTTTATTACATTAATACATGTAAATTTCTTTAAGAATAGTCTTATTAAAAAACGCATTATATTTAATGCTTTTTCTTGTCTTTTATTCAATTTTTTTAGAAAAAATATTTTTTCTTTCTTTTGTCTGCTAATTGTTATAAACTATTGTATTAGTAAGTTAATTTATACTATATTTATACAATAAGAACTATATTTTTTTTAAAAAAATAATAATCTTTTTCATCTCTTCTTGATAATTTGGCTGAAAATGAATTGTTTGAAGCCATCATTGTGGATAATGCAATAGTCCAAAATGGGGGATGGAGAACTTGACGAGGATGACACTGAGAAGATCCCAATTCTAGAAAACTTGTCTTCCCACATAGCTTGGATTGTTCTCCTCTTTGTTTTCTAACCATTATAACTTGTAGGATATTTTTTGTTCGAAGGCGCAAAATGGCTTTTTCAAAAAAAAAAAAACACTGTTAGCAGATAAGTAAAAATATATTTTATTTATTTTTTACTTTTGAATTGACTTGATATGTCTGTGATGTCAAAGGAGAGAATATTTTTTACCTTTACTCTTAACTGCTTTTTTTCCTCTTTTGTAAGGATTTACTCCTCAACATGCAACTCGGCATATACAATAACATAACGCGAAATGATAGTGCCACATTGTAAATTTTATTTTTCAGGTTTTTTGGCAAAAAGCCGTATAAGTAAGTTTCTTTTTCATATATATGAACTAATGGAAAGAAATGCCCCCAAGTCCTATATTTGCAGTCTTAGTTCTTGGCAACTTAAAATATAAAGGCATGCAAGGGAGCTGTTAGCTGATTTGACACAAGAGCTGCTCCAAACAAACGGATTACTCTTATGATTCAAAGCAATCTATCCTCATTAAAGTAAATGAATAGGAAAAATGAAGGGTTAATTTGTCCTGATTCAATTGTCAACTTTGTGGGCTAAGGTTGGCTATCTTGCCTTCTTCACCAGATTTAACAAAGAAACTTTGTCTGCATATATAGGAAGGTGGATAAGCCAAGACAATATGTCCTCACCTGTCTGGTTATTGATAGTATTAGAAAATGACAGTTATGCCCATGGAAATATGGGATCAAATGATAATAGCGAGGGGTTCTTGGTCATTTAGTATGGAAATGAGATGCAGATCTATATTTCTAGAACAAAGTTGCTTGGTCAGACACAAACAGGTTCATCTTACCTGTATTGAGTGAATAGTTGATGATAACTAAGCTATGCAATTCCAGATCAAATTCTTATCCCTTGGAGAATCCATCAAGGTATCTCTATATAACCTTATTGTACTACGAAGAATTTACCACCCTTGAAAGAAGAAAAAAATGGGATGTAGCCTGTCTTGTTTTCGGCAATATTCAAGTTCAAGCCCCCAAAGATTAGCTGATGAACAGGAAACAAAACATGGTAATCGAAGTGATAGTTCAGGCATGTCTTTCATGGTGCTAGGATGCTTGTGGACAAAGGAAACGAAAGAGAGGCAGTTGCACTTGAAGGAGAAGCAACAGAAGCAGCAGCTAAATAAGGCAAAAGAGCTCACCCTGGAGGATTGGCTGACAGCTTCACAAGGGATATTGCAGAAAAACAATGGTACCTCTGGAGGTGAATACCATGTTTTCAAACATTCCTCCAAGAGAGTTTTTCCATCTTTTGTTGGAGAAATGGCAAGTATCTCCTCTAAACCAAGGGAGAGCTTCTCCAAGGAGAAACCGCTGAAACCTGAAGATGTTCAAAGTGAAGAAATGGAGATTTCTTTGAGCAGGAGCCAAAGTGGGAGGTCAAAGAAAAAGGTGAGCTTTAAGCTACCAGAAGAAGCTGATATTTTCCTATTTTATTCATCATCAGAAGAATCTGGAGAGAAGGAGATTTGATATTTATATTTTACGAAGTTATACCTGAAAACATTTTGTTTCTTGTTCTCCCTTGGGTATGCTTGCTTTGTCAATTTGCTTTTGGTTGCGCAGTTTGGAGAGAATGCATCAAGTCATTCCTTAAGCTCTACTCGAGCATCAATGACCCTGTAAGATATACAATTATACATGTTAACGTCTGATCTTATGTTTTGAATAAGCTTTGGTATAACTTATTTCCATACCTAAACCAGCTGAATTAGTTATTAAAATTTTTTTTGTTAATTGAAATTGTCAGAATTTGAATTTTAATTACTAACAACATATCACACCATTGAAAAGAATGAATATTGAAAATTTTGTAACAAGATTACAACCGAAATAACTACCATTGAAGCCCACCCAAATTTTTAAATAAGAAAGGAAAGAGTAAAAGAGGGATGGGAAGTCAATTAACTAAAATCAAATGCAAACAAGTTTTCACGAATACAAAGTTACAAATATCGTAATCATTAGCTATAAAGAAAGTAAAATGACGAGGATTTACGTATTGAATCTTCGTCATTAAAATTAAGAGCGTGATATTTTATTAACAAATCAAGCGATTTTAACTGTTTACATTGTTTATTTAATTAGTTGGATTCATAGGAACCCAAAGTCTCAATACTGAAAGTATAAAGGTAACAACAATTACTAAGCACACACAAGAACAAACAAAAGAAAGTGAAAAGAACAGAAAGCTATAGGAAACCCTTTTCCCACTCTTTTTTTGTATGTCAGTTGATCCTGTATCTCCTTTCAATGCAATGGGAAGGGAAAAGATATATATAAAAAAAGGGAGGGAAAAAAGCCTTGTTTTTCTTGAATAACCCTTTTTCTTTTTTTCTAAGCAAAAGAAAGAGATGCAACTATGTGAAAGAACTGCAACTGCTCGAGTAACTCTTTAGCATGGCTTGTGGCTCGTTGCTCCACACGTGAAAACAGCTCCTCACTGAGCTTGTCCCCGATGTGAGCATCGACTAGTACCCCGGAGACACTCCGGCAGCTGTTGGCTAGGGCTCGGCCTACCTCCTTAGCATCATCCGGCCGACTAACAACCAGGGGGCTGCCTCCTTTGAATACCTCAAGCTTGTTTATGGTGAATGAACCATCAGCTTCAACCACTTCCTTGAAGTCTTGCAGGCTTGGGGCATACACTGGAATGTTGAAATTGTCACGCTTCTCACTACTAATAAGGCCCTGTCATAATACATGTACCAATTATAATTATGTAACCCTTTTAAAAAAAAAAAATTATTCAATTTTTGAGTTAAGACAAAATTTGTCATATCTAACAATCTAAAATAAATGATTAGAGTTAATAAATAATTGTTAATTGATTCAAACTCAAGACTTTAAAAATAATGATCTTTTATCAATTAAATCAATTATTTATTTGTTACGTAATTTTAATTGTTAGATAATATTTGAATTTTAATTTAAAAGCACAAACTCAAAATAAATCTATGAAACAGACCTTTGATTTATTAATAAAATATTAAAATTTTAATTTTAACAATTATAAATTCAATTTATCATAACTTTAAATGTGACAAAAAATTTATATAAGCTAACAAAGCAAACAATGAACACGTTATCATGATAGTCGTTGTAGCATCCTATTAGAACATCTGATTACGGGTGAAAATCATACATAAATGTACTACTACATTAATTTGGGTTCCACATCTTATGATTATTTGATCAACAATGATCAAATGGTCCCAAATGACTGTTCTTGTCGTCTTGCTAAATGATATGATTATATTTTTTTTGCTTACAACCCCTGCCTAGCAGTTATCATATTGCCGACATGGCAATGGGACAAGTGGAGGGTTAGAGCTGATTCTCCGGCCAAAACCATCCAACGGCTGGCATTGGAGTAAGTTAATCATGATCAGTGACAATCCATCATAAGGTCTTACTAAGCCTAACACACCTAATCATTCCCCCTTTTGCATGGTGTTTCCCTTTGCTTTTTGGTCTGCCAAAATGCAGAAACAGACCAGAGGAAGAAATTATTATGCAAGCAATTCCTACAATGTCAACTCTTATCCAATTCAATCCAATTGCTACTGGTATATAACACGTCAGCAAATTTGTTTTATTTATTTTTTATTTTAATTTTATATATTTTAAAAGTTGATATTTATTAATAAATAAGATATTATTATTTTATTTATTAATAATATATAAATTTATACATATGACAATACATTAAAAATAAATAATTCTTTATAAAATTTAAAAAATTAAATGAGATAAAAAGGATTTAAGTATGGCAGTAATAATTTTGTGAGAATTGGGGTGCACTGTTGACACAAGCCATAAAAATGAAGAGCTTTATGTAAACATAGGTGATTATTATTATATACCTCTTGGACAAGATCATCCCAAGCATCCTGAAAGTGGGTCCCAAAGAGGAGACCAGCCCCCCCTTGGTCTGAGGGGTCCACTGAAGTTCTTCCCAAGCAGACAAGGAACATGGACCCACCCCTCTTCATCTCTATGGATCTTGCTCTGAGGAACTCAGCCAAGTCTGTCTGGAACTGTTTCTTGTATGCATTGGCTGTGCTCTCATTTGCACCATGGATGAACACCCTCCCTTTGTTGTAAGCTGTTGATCTTCTGTCTAACACAGTTTCAGGCATCTGGTCCCATTGCAGAGATACACAAAATGTCTGTTGTTAATGTTGCACATACAAGAGAAAAGACAGGAAACCAAAGTACTTCGGCATGTCCAAATGAAATAATTTAACTTTATATCGGTTGGTTTGAGAGATCATTAAAAAATCACTTAAATTTTTTCATTTTCTTTTACCATGAAATGACATGCATGAACCTGAAGATCATTAATTTTTTTTCTATTAGTTTCACCTTAGAAATCATCCTCGGGAACAAACTATATATATATATATATTTATATATTGATATTTATATTTTATAGCTTAGAAGGAATGAAATTAAGATTCATTGATTAATTAACCTGTGATAGCCAGTGCAATGAAAATGCCGAGTGGAAGACATCAATGGATCTAGCCGGAAAAAGGCGCCGGTAAAATGATCCGGGGACTCCGGCAGCGAAATACGACCGTTGTCCATTGGAAGCCAGGCACTCTTCCATGCTGCTACCTCCATTATTTGCTAAGGGAGGTAAGAGCTGGAAAAGGGTGTTGAAATCATTGCTAGGAAGATCAGAGAAAAACGCAGAAAACTCCGGGGGCTCGTATCCTGATGACTCGTATCGCTTGATCATGTGTTTGATGATCACGTCGACGATATAGATTGTGTTGTTACCACAGGAGCATCCCAAATCCACGACGACGAAGGGTACCTCGGGTGAGCTCAGGTGAACACTGTCTAGGGCTTCTTCGAGAAGGTGAAGCATGGAACGAGCATGCAAGGCCTGCATGACAAATACATAATTAGAACACTATCGGACTCTTAGTTCCAATGATCGTAATTCAATTCCCGATAATTTTAAGTATAAAAAACGAAAAAAAACACACATGGGAAAAATTGAAATTTGAAGGTAAGATTTGTTGTAATAATATATAGACCTGAGCTTGGGAATTATTGGCATAGCTGCCTTCTCCTTTGCCTCCTTTCATGCTGAGCAGCTTCTCAAGGTTCATGTTAGAAACAACAACGTTGTCTCCCTTGGAAGCCATTTTTCCGTCCTGCAGCTTTCTCGTTTGTTTTGGAGGAAAGTTTTGAGTAAAGCTGAGTATATATAGAGAAAAACCAAAGGGACTCTGGTCAGGTACTAAAGGAAAAGGCTAATTATTATTAGATAAAAATTCAAATAAAATTAAAAATGAAAAAGAAAAATGAAAACAAAGAGCTAAAATTGTATACAAAATCCACACTTACAGGACTCACTTGCAAACAACAGCAAAGATATAACTAGCTAGCTCGGCAGGCCCTAGATTGATGCCGGATTTTCTTGTTTCCAGTCTCCGATACCGGCAAATTCAACAAAAGGAGAGGAAATCTATAGTTTTTAATTTACTTGTGTCATAACGTATAGATTTATAGATCTATCGCTAGATATAAATTTTAAAAGTCATCATAAATTTTCTTTATTTAAGTGTGATTAATCACTAACTGAATCTGTCCATTTAAAAAGAAATCTTAAGATTAACTTAGGTGGCTTTAAATAATAGATTCTAGTATACTAAATCAGATTTAAGTTCAAAAATGTGATTAGGGTGAGAAATGTTATAGCACCTTCATAGTGCTCATCCAAAAGATAGTACAGTTTAATTTCAAATTATCCAAGCCTTAAAATATATTTATAATTTATCAACTAATTTTAATTTTGAAAATTTTCTTTAAGTTACTCAAATATGTTGGTACTAATTTAAAAATATTTCTTCATATCAGGAGTATTCAAATAGACTATTTGTCACGCTTTAAAGAGCCTTCATCTTAATTTAATGTTACTTTTAGAAATAAATATTTATAAATTGATTTTATAGTAAAAAAACATTCTCCAATCTGTTGGAAAGACTTTCTATTGAAAATTTACTCCAATCTATTAGTAAGATTTTATGCAAAAAGATAAAAAATGTTATTTTATTATTTTTTCAAAAACTTGATTTTTTAGGAAATTATAAAGCTTTTCAATATATTGGTAAAACATTATTTTGAAAAAACATTGGTCCTCCAATATGTTGGTATGACTTTTTATTTATATATATTTTGAAATAAATAAAATTATAAGGCTTTCTAATATGTTAGTAAAACCCTATTTTTAAAAAAAATGATTGCCTTCCAATCTATTGGTAATGCTTTTATTTAAAAACGTTGTTATAAAAATATATTTAAAGAATAATAGATAATCAAATAAATAAATAAATAAAGTAGTTAAATAAATAAAATAAAATAAAATATCTGAAGTCAGCTCAGCTATGCAACTAGACTGCCTGACTTATCAGAATAAATCATCACAATTTCAAATTTTGTAAAGAATTCCAAAAATGGTATCTTTTTTTTTTTTTGAATTATTTTTCTCTCATTTTTTTCTCAAGAGTTTCCTCATAATCTTTTTCTTTCTCTCTTTCTTTTTTTAGGTTCACTTTTGTGTGTGGTTGATTTGAGTTTATATAAGGCTTTCTATTAGAAATTTTAAGGATTTGCATTGAATGGAAAAGATTACAGATTTGATTATGCTCTAAATTTATTTTTTCTTGATTCTTTTTAAAATCGGTTCAATTAATTTATGAAATTGTCTTAATTTTTTTTATTTTCAGAATCCCTCAAATTTTTTCAAATTAAATATGAATTTGATTCCCTGATTTGATTTCTTTTCAACCTTCTTTTAATATTTAAAGAGATCATGTTTTAGTCTTAACTGCCGATATCATTTTTGACTAGTGCTTAAATTATTCCAAAAATTTTATTGATATAATTTATGATAAAAATTTAAAACTAGATAAATAAAAGACTAAAAGATAAATAAATAAGACAAACAAGATATAAAAAAAATGTAAGAAATTGGACACGTGAGCTTGGGTCATATTTGGGCCTAATTGGTTTGAGTTTCGGATTAAATAGGGTGTCTACAACTATCCCTCTTTGCTTTGTTTTTGTGAAATATGAATTGTGCAAAAATATAGATACCCATTACGTCCGGGCCCGCATTATTCAACTTTTTTTCTTTTTTTTTAAAAGGCTTTTCGAAAATAAAGGCACACAATTTTTAAAAAATTAAGGATGACACCCAAAGGTTTTGACAATCATGCCTGAAGGTTTATAGATCATGTTTAAAGAACTTGAAGATTAAGTTTGAAAGTCTTACAAATTATTCATTAGAAAATGTTCCTTTAAACAAATGTTACACAACTTTAAAAAAAAAAATACCTGAAAGTTTTATAAGATCATTCCCGGAGGTCTTATAAATTATAGTAGGAGGATTTAGAGACTACACGTAAAGGTATTAGAGATTACATTTGGAGGTCTTATAAATTTCGACTCTAAAACAAATTTAGCTTGTAAAACCTACAAATTTTACCTGCAAGACATAGAGATTACGTTCAAAGGTCTTACAATCTCAACTTTAAAATAGATTCAACTCGAAAGACTTATGAATATTGTTTAAAGGACTTAGAGATTACGCTCGGAGGTTTTACAAATCAAACTTTAAAAAAGCTCTTTTAAAACAAATGTTTAACCATTTTTACAAAAAAATGGATATCTTGAGGTTTTTAATATTATGTCCGAAGGTCTAATAGATCTAACTCGGAGGATTTTAAAAAGGTTTAACAATTTTTAAAATGTACCTGAATGTTTTATAAAGAATTACCTAGAGGTTTTTAAGATCGATACCCAAAAGTTTTAACAAATATACCCTAAGGTAAAATTTTGTTTGATCAAAGTTTTTCTTATCAAAAATTTAAATCAAGTCTCTTTTTCTTGAAAAATATAAATGCAACATATGAAATAGATGTGATGCATACAATGCATGAAATGCAATGAATGAAATGTATGAATTTTATACTAAATATCCTTAATCGTGGTAATAGGATTCTTGAAACTTTTTTTCTTTCCATCTTTTCATGACATAGCCTCTAAATTAGTTGATAAGTTCTTTCATGTACCAAAGCAAACATTTTCAACATTCTCATTCTTGAAAACCATTCTTCTCGTCTAGTGAATTATTTCAGTATCAGCCCCTTATATTTGACATTTTCTTGCCCTAAAAAGGCTTTTTATAACATTCACCTATCTTCCACCACAAGTGTTAAGATTCAATACATTTTGAACATTTTTCGAAACTTCCCAAGAATAGCGATGGAAATTGCTTTACATAACTATCTTCTGCATATGATCAAATATCTTAAAATATCTTAAAAACTGGTGATTATTGTCTAAAATGAGAATGACGAATCATAACTTTGGTCTTTCCTAAAGGATGCAATAGTTTGGCACATTAGAAATAATCTTAATTACCAAAGGAATTTGGCCATTGAATGAGAACATGATCATCTTTTCATCTGGGCTCACAATTGAAAATAATATTTTAAAGTGTAATTTATTTTGGCACTGCTTTCAGTTTTTAATATGTAGTATTTTAACAAACGTCAAGACCAATTATGTCAGGCTCAAAATTTTAGATTTGAAAAAAGAACAAGACCTAAATTTTAGAGGAAATCTTCATAGTGAGATCAATCTCTTTAGGCTTTTAAACAAAAGTCTCCTTGGTACTACATAAAAATCATGAGTTGTTTTAAGAGTTTTAATCTTATTCTAGACTGCCCTTTTGAGTTTTCACCTTAGAGCTTTATTCCTTATATATATATATATATATATATTTTACATACCATCATGCATTTGAGCATTCAAAATTCATCAAAAATAAAAAAAGTGATGGTGATTTTCTAAATAAAAGCTCCTAAATTTAGATATTTACAATTGATCAAAATAAACTTTTTAAAAGAAACGGGCTAAAGGTTTAGGGTTTTGAAAGAAAGAAAAAATAGACCCAAAAATGTATTTACAGGTGTCATAACATATAGATCCGTGGACATATTGTTAGACATTGACTTAAGGAGTTATCACCAATTTTTTTTTATTTAGGTACGATTGGCCGCCTAAGGAATCTGTCCATTTTAAAGAGGAATCCTAAGTTCGACTTAGGTATCTCTAAAAGGTAAATTTAATGTCTGTGAAACCAGAACTAGGTCTGAGAGTACGACTACATATAATGAAGGTTATAGCACCCTTACAACGTCTATCGAAAGATAGTACTAGCTCAATTTTATGTTATCCAATAAGTCTTAAAAATTTTATCCAGTAATTAATTATTAAAAATTATTCTTAATTAACTCCAATACTTTTGGCAAAAAATTAAGAAAAATCTTCTCACCTTAAGAGTATACAAGAAAACTATTGTTTCACTTGTAGAGGCTCTATCGTCGGATTATTTAATAAGATTTCAAAAAATGAGTAAAGCATAATTATTAATATAGATCTTTTAAAAAAAAAAACTCATGCTTTTATACAAAAAAAAATTGATACTTTCAACTTTTCCTTAAAGCATTTTGAGGTTTTTTTTTTTATTTTAAGGAAAATTGATACCTTCAACTTTTTCTTAAAAATATATATTTTTGAAATTTTAATTTCAAGGAAAATTGATACTTTCAACTTTTTCTCAAAAATATCTTTTAGAAATTTTATTTTCAAGGAAGTTGATACTTTCAACTTTTCCTCAAAAATATCTTTTAGAAATTTTATTTTCAAAGAAAATTGATACTTTCAACTTTTTCTTAAAACATTTTTTTTTTGAAATATTTTTCTTTATTCATTTATCCTTTTTATTCATTCAAAAAAATAATTGATAAATAATGAGAAAATAACAAAAATAGACAAAGAATACCAAAAATAATTCACGATTTTAGGTTCGGCTTAACTAATCAAATAGCTCAATTTCACAGGTCGACTTAGCTTGAAGTCTGAAGCAGGTCGCAACTGGGTCAGATTGCCCGTGGAGTAGCATGCACCCAATTTCTTGATTCTCTAAAATATTGCATTTTAGTTTAACTATAAAAGAAAAAATTTCGTATTTCTCATTCTTTTTTTAGACTTTTACTCTCTCTCTAGCTATATACTCTCCTTTTTCTCTCTATAAAGTTTTTCAGAGGCCAAAGAAACTTTAAGAATATTGGCCAGCTTCTAGCCTTTCCAGATCTCTACTGTCACTGACCGTTGGATGCCGCTGTTTGGTCAACGTTGGTTGTCACCCGTCAGCTCTAGTTGGTCTCCAAATCT